GTGCTGCTGCAGAATTGCATTGTGTTATACTGAGAGGTTTTTCTAATAGACTGATTTGGAGTTTACGCGCACATATCCATGGTAGATATTGATTAGATATATACATATGTTTAAGTTTCAATTAACATTAATAACAATACCGATGTGCCTGTAAAAGGCTCATATCGACTGATTTTTATTGGCCGACCGATAAATCTACCATTTGATGTGACCTCACTGAAATAAATGGAATGCACCAAATACTGTTTCCATCAGTTTATACCTACGGGATTCACATGCGGTTTAATTTTGCCTTTTTAAGTTCTAAAGGTTCACCTGTATATCACCAAAGAAAGTAGAAATAATACACATCAAGTATTAAAAGTGGCTCCGTAGCAATAAATGAGAATATTCTAATGCAGAGTGACGACAAAGTGGAACAGTGCAATTTTATTTTATACATATACATGAAAAAGCCAAATCAACCCAATTTAGTCTAAATGGTACCTTTGTGCCTCAGCAGCATGCAAAGCAATTTTTTTCTCACACACACTCGTGCGCGTCTCTCTGCAGTTGTGAGGACATTCATTGACATAATGCATTTCCTAGCCCCTTACCCTAACTGTGACCATCATAACCAACCCCAAACCTAAAACCAAGCCCTCAAACAGCCCGTTGAATTTGTGAGGACCAACCAAAATGTCCTCACAATTATGGTATTAAACCAAATTGGCCTCATAACTATAGATAGACGTGCACACACGTGTCGCGCAGGAAAGGAGCTGGAAACCCCGTGAGTGAACAACTTGTTCGACCGCCTGCGCTTCGGTCGCCCTGGAAACGTATTATTCACTTCGTAGGTTTTTGAGTTTCTCGTTGGATTTCCCTCGCTGACTGAACCACCTCAGCTCTGGAGCGGCGAATTGTCTTTTTCTAAAAACAGAGTTAACAAAGTGCGTTGACTGCAAAGCAAGAATAAGATTAATAACAATCAGCAGGACGCTGAGTAAAATTAAAGGTGAAAAGATAAAAACGCCACATCACATGAAAGCAAATGGGGATTTAAGACGAGCATTATCTCCTCAGGTCGGCCGTTCCAAAGCCGAGGGTCCTGATGGCAGAAGCACCTTTAGTTTAGTAGAGGATCTCAGGCTGCGTGCAGGCACACGAGGGGTCAACAGGGGGTCAGTCTCAGGGAACATATCTGTACCATCCACGTGTATCTTGACTGCAGCTGTTTCACGGATCAGTTTACACTCCAGCGGAGCTGCGTTACTGGGGCGACACAAATAATACGATCGCTTCCTCTGTTCTCTACTCAAAGGTCAGAACTGTCAGAACCTCTCTCAGTTGGTCGATGGCGGATATTTATGTGTCAAAGTTCACTGAAGTTAAATTCTGAGAGAATCTGGACTTATTTACGACTGCAAATCTACAGATCGCTGCAGTTTCCTCTTCAATCTATTGACTCCTGTGAAATTCGACTTTTTCAAGCGCTACAAGGCCCCTTCACTGATTTATCTTTTATTGTGTATAATTGCCCAGTACATGTTCCTGCTGTTATCAAGTCTCTTTCAGCAGACCATCATCATTCATTCATTTCTCAAATGTCGATAGAGATATTTCTGCATCGCTGCAGCAGACAACTCTCTGTTTAATCTCTCAATATGAAGAGTGATGTCCTCATCACCGAAACCAAACACACACTCATAAACTATTCAAGCAGCTGAGTCGACGCCTCTTCAGCAGATAAGAGTTCTTACTTGTTCCCAGCGTGGAGCCGCTCGTGTGGACGTCGACCCAGTTCTGCTCAAAGTCTGGTCTGCTCTGCTTCTCTGGATCCACAGCCACCGTGGTGGATCTGAACATCGGACCAGAACCTGGAGCGCTGAGGAGAGGATGAGAGGAGGAGAGGAGGAGAGGATTAGAAGGGGGCAAGTATGCAAGTAAGGATGCAACAGAAGAGGAGAGGAGATGAAGGGATGAAAGAGAGGTGATGAGAGGAGATGAAAGAAGATTAATGGATGAACGGGAGAGGAGATGAGAGCATGAAGGAAGATCATGATGGAAGGAAACATGGCAAGCATGGGGGGGGTGAAGATCAAGAGAAAGAAATGAGAGAGGATGAAAGATGAAAATTGAGGGAAGAGGACGAAATGAGAAGAGATGAGAGGGAAAGGAAAAATGTAAGAAGAAAGGAGGACAAGAGGAGAGGATGAAATATAGAAGAGAAGGAGAAGACGATGAGCGGAACAAAGAAAAGGAATTATGGAAGAAAGGAAACAAGGAGAGAGGGGAAGGGGACATAAAGTGGAGGAAAGGAGAAAAGGAATAGCAAAGATAAAATGAGAGGGGAAATAAGAGAAGAGGGGAGGAGAGGAAACAAGGAGACGAGTGTTGAGGGGGGGGGGRGAGGKGAGGATAAAATGAGAAGAGGAACCGAGTGAAGAGGGGAGGAGAGGAAACAAGGAGACGAGCGTTGAAGGAGGTAGAGTAGAGGTGAAATCCAGCTGAAAATCAATTTGAGGTTTTTCTCCCTGAACCAACACCTTCTATTCGACGTTGGGCTTCGGCCGCACGTCGTGATTGGCCGCCGACACTTTACAGCCATTTCAATCATCCCCTGTTAAATGCTTTTTATTAGTTGCTGTGCCAACACTCATTGAAACCCAGGAGCGAGCCTCCTCTGCTCCGCTGCTGTATTTTTAGTCTCGTACAAAACAATGTCGGTCAGCACATCAAGTGTTTTCACTAATATGAATATCAATAATGTGCGTAGGCCCACACTCACATTAATATTCTAACTTTGATGCGTGGAATTTAGAAGTGGTGGATGTTTGTAGGGCGTCTTCAGGGACTATTTTCTGGTGGAGGCCTTCGCTGACTCTCATGTATCGTACTCTATATATATTTAAAGAAGCCATGTTATCCCCCGTTTGGTCGCTCGCCAGACGAACTCTCCTCCTCGCAACATGTTCTCAGCCAAATGCACATCAGCTGTTTGCAGAGCTCCGTGTTTGTTCGTCGTGAGCTGCAGGTTTTCTGTTTGGCAGCCCACTTGATATCGGATGAGTCCCAGTTATCGGAGCTTCCCACCGGCATCGCCAGCTCGCAGATGTAGATTTTTAACGATATGATATTTATATTTCAGGAGATCTGATAGTAACACAGCTGCTGAGTTACTCTGACCAATATAAACACAGCAAGGTGTTTCCTGTAATGGATTATTCATCTGCAGCGAGTTTATTATTTCTGTAATCTGATGCTGCAACTGCACGAGACAAGAGCGGCTCAATGAAGCAGGTTGAAAATCAATACGCTCTTTTCACCGAGGAAACGGTGGAAACAGTGGAAATTAAATGGAGAAACCAAACCGTGCAGCTGCTGCTGCAGGGTCAGGACGTCATGTTAACCTGCCTGCGTAAAGAGTCGAATGTGCTTTGGAGGAAGATTTTTCAAAGTGTTTTCAGGTTGAATGTGTCGGAGAATGAAACTGCAGCAGCACCTGTCACAGTAAAAAAAGACTCGACAGTGAGGATGAGCCTGATGAAGGCCACAAGCTGGAATGCAATAATTCTAACCGTCCTGTAATCACGTCTGGAGTTTCGACCTCACTCTTACAGTGTGAACCTCATGTGGCATGTCTGATGACGCTATCAGTATCTGAACATTTCACAGATACAGAAATCCAGCAGAAATATTAGCTTTAATCTAGAATCATCGTGTAACCGCCTGGTGAATATTGTCCATAGCGTCATTCTCAATGTGCTCATTCATGTGATTCATTGTCGATATAAACTATTGATTATTGTGGATTTAAGCTTTGAATATGAAGCCGTGAAAGGTCATTTATTAAATTGATGTGGCCTCGTCTCTTTTGCCTCATGTGAGATAAATCTGCTTTGATTTGTTTTTACGATAAACTCTAATTTAAAGTTGCATAAAGTTCCACCAAAGCCACCTCCCCCTCCTCTGTAACGATGCCTGTTCCACCTCATAACGTTGAATCATATCCGTCACTCACCACTCTCCTGTCCTCCTCTCCTCATGTTGGTGGAGCCTCCTCAGCACTCGCTCCTCTCTCCTCTCCTCCCGCCGGCGTCTCTTTCTCCTGCAGGCCAGCGCTCGGTAAAACTCCCTCTGCTTCAGCTCCTTCAGACGCTGCAGGACGACGAGCGGAAGCATTAGTCGTATTATTGTTATTTCAATAAGGAGAAATTAGAGGTTAAAACGGGTAAAAGAGTAATTACAGTTAAATCAGTTCATCACGCTGTGTGTGTGTGTGTGTCTGTGTGTGTGTGTGTGTGTGTGTGTCTGTCTGTGTGTATCTGTGTGTGTCTGTGTGTGTGTTTACAGTACTTGTGCTTACTAAGGCAGCCTGTGTCAGCTTTAGTAGAGGCCAGAGCAGCTTAATTCACTTACTGAGCTCCGTCTGCAAGCCAGAGATACTGATACTGTGTGTGCATGTGTGTGCATGTGTGTGCATGTGTCACAAATAATAATAATAATAATAATACCGGTGGGTGCACGTCACAGACAGACAGACAGCGAGGCGAGCAGAGAAACCAACAAATAGATAAACAGACCAAAATAGACAGATAGATAAAATGCAGAGGGAGGAAGACAGATGCAGTGTGTGTGTGTGTGTGTGTGTGTGTGTGTAGCCTCAGCACTTCTTGGAGTGTCTACATACAGTATGAAGGGTGGACAAAATGACAGCAAACCCCACAACAAACTGAAATCCACTGCAACAACAGCACAAGCTGCGACTTTAAAAATAACCGGTGAGTTGAATCAACACTTCAACGACACAGCAAAAAGAAATTGAAATCATGAGCTGAACTAAGCGTTGGAAGGTGCGGACGCCTACAGGCCGGTCCAGAAACTATTCAGATGGTTCCACAGTCGGAACCAAATGGACCAAAGTTTGTTCCAGACCAAAGCAGGAGGGTCTGGTCAGGGGTTAGTGTCACAGAGCTGCTGCAGGAACACGTGGTGGCAAAGAGTCGGAGCCGACCTGGAAGTCTGCTGGTTTTTAGTGGAACAATATAAATTACAACCTTTACAAAGATGAGGAGTCTCAGTTCAAAGACTTGATTCACCTTTACCACTCATTCATAATAATCACTCAGTTCATTGTGTACCCAAGATAATCCACTAATCCAAAACAAATACACAACGCAGTAATAGTCCCCCTGAACATTAGATAGTACACACTGTGTCAGCCGGGACCCGCTTCACTGAATAATGCTGATTGTTGAGATGCTGCATATTTCAAAAGATATCATCAAGTGCACGGACTGATAATGAGAGGACGGGCCCTCGGGCACAAACACTGGGAAGGGCTTCCATCCTACGTCGCAAATTTAATTGCTTCGCTAATTTTTTTATACAAACTTACTGTTACACTGATGTGGAACTCAGTGTGCAGCTGCGTTAGACAGAAATGAAGAAACAAACACACAAGAAAAAGACGGTTTATTTAGTCACAACACAATTCAGACACAAGGTAAATGAATGTGCTTAAATAAGAAGGTAAGAAGATATTCAAACTCCACGAAAAGTGCTGTGAAGAGGAATAAATGAATGGTT